TCTTAAAAGCCTCCAATGAAAAAGAATTCATAGAAGATTGTTAAGAAAATCTTCCTTACACTGCATTGAAGTTGGCCTTCCATTATTTTAAATGTGGCCTTCAAAAATATAATTTTCTTCTAAATATTTAAATAAATAAATAAACTAAATAAATAGTTATTTTTGTTGATCATTACTCTGAGAATAAAAATGATTTTACATGAAACTATAATCTAGATTATTTACACTGTGTCAAACCATGTTTATGGTAACTTAATAAGACAGTAACAAAAAATTCTGTGCTGATTGCCTACTTTTGTACTTTTTTTTCAGCTTTCTTCTCCAAAAGTCTATTGGACTTGCCTTTCTGCCAAGAATGACTCTGTCTCAAGTCTTTCAAGAAACATTGTTGTAGTAAGAAAGAAGCACGACAATGATGACAACACCAACATACTCACTGCCACCCTAAGGTATGGGGGCACAAGGTTTGATAGAATATCAGGGGGCAATTGGGATGAAATCAAGGGTGTGCTAGAATAGGCTCTAGCTAGCTTGCTTTGTCGATCGTCTGGACTTAAGAAAGTCCTAATAAGGCAAATTAAACTTAAAAGTGTGCATATATAATTTTTTTTCTAGGAGCCTAGTGGTTAATGCCCCTTTATTAGGTTATAAACATTACTTGAACTTAGCAGGAGTGGTGGAGAAGGTTCAGGGAATGAAGTCATCACTAGACTGGAGGCCTGGTGGCTGGAAGCTAATAATAATGGTAATAATAGTAATAACTAACATTTGCATATGGTTTGCAAAGTACTTTACATCCATTGTCTCATTTGCGTTTCCTGGAGTAAGAGGACTTGGTTTCATATCATTCTCCTGGAATACTCCTGGAAAAAATTTTGGTGCTTCCTCCGCCATAGAGTCACTGATAGTAGGAATAAGAGTTGAGAGAGAACAGTAACTGACAAAGAAAAAGGTCTCCCATCCTCTTTGACTTTCCCTAGAGTTGTGTGGATGAGGACATAGCAAGAAGAGGAATATGTATTGCACAAACTATCTTGGTCTCGGTCACTCTGATTACTCTAACAACCTCTTTCTTGTTCATTATAATAAATGTTGGCCCATTCATTATATAGGTTGACCCATCCTCAGATTGGCAGATAGGCCCTGCTCATATGCAGGGGAAAGCTTGTGTCAAAAATAGAAGTTAAAAAATGCTTCGATGAATCGGAAAATAGTAAGAAAGCAATATTAATGAATTTGTGTAGTGTGCGTTAGGAGAAAGAAATGGCAAACCACTCCAGTATCTTTGCGAAGAAAACCCCATGGACAGTATTGGCTTGCTATGGTCAATGAAGTCACACAGAGTTGGACACAACTGAACAAGTGAAAGACAACAAAGTGTGCTTTAAGGTTGCAGGAGCCTTCCTCACAATAACCCTATGAGGTTTGGTTATTCTTACATTATGGAGGAGGAAAATGAAGCTCACCAAGGTTAAGTGAATCACCCATAGTGACACAGCTAGCTGAAGCCATGACTTTAACTTGGGTTTGCTAATTGTAAGTCAAGTACTTAAGAATTTTAAAACAAATTAGTAAGAACATTGTACTGTCTTTATAATCTGAGCACTGTTTCATTAATTTTATTAGGAAAAAATACTTTGTTAACTCATTTAGCACATTATGAAATTTATCAGATTACTTTACAATGAGTGTTTTCTTACTAATTCCATTACTTTGCAAATGAGAACTGTTTTTCTCATATGTCGGCCAGTAGGAACTTATACTTGTGAGTGGATCATTGATCTGGAGCCATCTAGTCCAACTCCCTTATTTTATAGGTGAGGAAACTGAGGCCCAGAAAGGTTAAGGGATTTTGCCAAGATCATATGGGTAATAAGCACCAGGAGAAGGATATGAATCCAGGTCCTCTTACTCCAGAGCCATTATTCTTTCCTTTAAATGGATTGGTTTCTGTAAGTGAATTGTAACATGTGGATGGCTGATGGTTTCGCTTAGTTACTACCAACATATACTTATTAATAGGTCTCCATGGGAATCAGAGACTAAGATGAGAACAAAATCTGTGACATTTCCCACAAAACCTTGACTCTTAACCTTCTCCCTAACTTCCTCCAAGTCATCCACTATTTTAACTATTATAGGAAAGGGAAAGAAGAAAATGGTGGAAAACTACATGACAGGAAGTCAAGTTTGGAAGGGAAGGCAGGAGGAAGGTACCAGAGTGGTTTACAACCTGGTCAGAAGTTAAGGGCACAATTTAGAAATCAGGGAGCAGAGCTAAGACATTTAAACAAAGAATCTCCCCCTTCTCTCAAACACGCTTGTTGATAAGTTTCTACTATGTACATTTTCCTCAATTTTGTTCACAGGTTTGTCCTCTCCAGTGTGATGTGATGGAAACAGTACTGGGAGCTGTTTTGAAATTTTAACACTTAATAGCTATGTAACCATGGTTGGGTCCTATCATTTAAACTCTTTGAGCCTCAGTTTCTTAATCTGTAAAATGGGGATGATTATAATACTGAGAGATAGCCACATAATGGATAGACAGCCAGTCTTGGAGTTAGGAGTACTATGGCTCAAGTCCCTACCTTTGACACATACTGGCTTTGTGACCCTTAGCAAATTCCTTAACCTCTTGGTGCCTTAGGCCACCCTTTAAAGAATATAAGTTGTAGAACATTTGCTGATCTTTATTGGTGGAAAAAGTTAATGAAATTATATCTGTTTTCCCCCAAAGCAACTTGTATTATTTAACCCACAACACTGTTTTGAGGTAAATGCTTTGTAAACCTCAAATCCTCGATCAACCTCAGTAAGAATATATGATTTTCCAGGGCTAGAGTTGCCCATCCTTTTATTATCGCTTCTCATGATGCTTAGTAGATAGCCCTGCACACAGTGGCCACTTAGGAAATATTATCAGACAAACTTAATCTTTATCCTTCCATAACCTCTTCACATGGCCTTGGTTTCATTCTCCCCAAGAGTCGCTTTCCTTCTTTTGGACTGATTCCTATTCTTTCTTGGGGCAGCTAGGTGGCACAGAGGATAGAACACTGGACTTGTAATGTTCTAATACGTGGTCAATTTTTGCGTAGGTGCCATGTACTGCTGAGAAAAATGTAGATTCCTTTCTATTCACATTCAGTTTTCTCCAGAGATCTATTGTATCTAAGTATTCCAGAATTTTATTGACCTCCTTAAGTTCTTTCTTGTTTATTTTTTTGGTTAGATTTATCTAGTTTTGAGAAGGGAAAGTTGAGGTCCCCCACTACTATAGTTTTATCTATTTCTGCCTATAATTCATTGAACTTCTTAAAAATTTTGATACTATACCATTTAATGCATATATGTTTAGTATTGATATGACTTAATTGTCTATGGTAACTTTCAGCAAGATATAATTCCCTTCATTATCTCTTTTAATTAGATCTATTTTTGCTTTTGCTTTGTCTGAGATCATGATTGCTACCTCTGCTTTCTTTGCTTCAGCTGAAGCATAATAGATTCTGCTCCACCCCCTTATCTTTACCCTATGTGTATCTCTCTGCTTCAGATGTATATCTTGTAAACAACATATTATAGAATTCTGTTTTTAATCCATTCTGCTATCCCCTTCCATTTTATGGGTGAGTTCATCCTTTTCACATTTATAGTTATGATAACTATGTGTTTCCCTCTATGCTATTTTTTTGCTTATTTATTCCCACCTCTCTCTTACTCCCCACCCTTTCCCTCCTCACAAATGTTTTACTTCTGATTACCACCTTCCCCAATATGCCCTTCCTTTTATCAGTCCCCTCTCCTCCTTCTATTATCCCCACACCTTTTTACTTCCTTATAGGGTAACATATGTTTCTATATCCACTTGAGCATATATGGTATTCCTTCTTTGAGACAATTTGATGACAGTAAGGTTTGAGCTTTCCCTGCCATCCCTCCATCTTCCCCTGCATCTTCCCCTCCATTATAATAGCCTCTTTTATGTGAGGTAATTTACTCCTTTCAATCTTGCCCCTCCTTCCAGTACAATTTTCTTTCTCACCTCTATATTTTTTTTTTTTTGGGGGGTATTATCCCATCAAAGTCACCTTATACCCTCTGTCTACATATACTCCTTCTAATTGCTCTTATAATAACAAAGTTGTTAAGAGTTACAAATATTATCTTGCCATATAAAAATATAAACAGTTTAACCTTATTAAATTGCTTATTTTTTCTCTTTCTTCTCTTTTTACCTTTTTTATGTTTACCTTGAATCTTGTTTTTGGAGGTCAACTTTTTCATCCAGATCTACTTTTTAAATTAGAAATGCTTGAAAGTCCTCTATTTCAATAAGTGTCCATTGTCTCCTGCCACCCCTGAATGATTATATTTAATTTTACTAGGTAGGTGATTCTTGGTTGTAATCCTAACTCCTTTGCCTTCCAATATATTAGATTCAAAGCCCTCTAGTTCTTTTATGTGGAAGCTGCCAAATCCTGTGTAATCTTGACCGTAGCTCCATAATATTTGAATTGTTTCTTTTTGGCTGCTTGCAGTACTTTCTCCTTAATCTATGAGCTCTGGAATTTGGTTATGATGTTCCTGGGAGTTTTTTTTTTCTAGTGAGAAATTTCACATTTTCTTCTATTTTTTTTTTTACTTTTTTTGGCTTTGTTTTGTTTTATCTTGATGTCTTGTAGGGTCATTAATTCCCACTTGTTCAATTCTAATTTTTAAGGAATTACTTTCCTTAGTTTCTAGTCATACTTCTGACATACTGGTTTGTGAGAGCCCGGTCAAGTCATTTGACTTCTTGTTGCTTCAAGCAACTCTCTCAGACTATAATTGCAGAACTTTTGTTAATATGTATGATGAAAGGAATCTTCTCATTGGCATTTATCAAGACTAATGAAATCCTAGATCCAGTTTTTAAGAAGTTAGGCATATAAATGTGGGTTATTGTCATTAATTAACTCTTCTTGTCTTCCAAGGACTCTTGAAAGATTCACTGAATGGAAGGTTTCAACCAAACCAGAGTGACTGAATTTGTCTTCTTGGGACTCACTGATAATTGGATATTAGAGATGTTATTTTTGGTGGCATTCTCAACCACCTATGTGCTGACCTTGTTTGGGAACCTCCTCATAGTAGTCACCATCATATTCACCCCACGTCTCCACACCCCCATGTACTTCTTCCTCAGCAACTTGTCCTTCATTGACATCTGCCACTCATCTGTCACAGTTCCCAAGATGCTGGAGGGCTTCCTATTAAAGAGAAAGACTATCTCTTTTGATGCAATGCATTGCACAACTCTTCTTTCTACACTTCTTTGCCTGTGCAGAGATCTTTCTGCTGACTATCATGGCCTATGACCGTTATGCGGCCATCTGCACCCCTTTACACTACTCCACGGTGATGAACATGCAGGTATGTGTGCAGCTTGTCTTTGCCCTTTGGCTGGGAGGCACTATTCACTCCTCGTGCAAACCTTTCTGACTACCTGCCTGCCCTACTGTGGCCCCAACATCATTGATAGCTACTTCTGTGATGTGCCGTCTGTCATAAAGCTGGCATGTACAGATACATACCTCACAGGGGCACTTATTGTGTCCAATAGTGGAACCATCTCCCTCGTTTGCTTTCTGGCTCTGGTGACTTCCTATACAGTTATCCTGGTGTCTCTCCGGAAGCAGTCGGCTGAAGGACGCCAGAAAGCACTCTCCACCTGCTCAGCTCACTTCACTGTAGTGGCCCTCTTCTTTGGACCCTGTATTTTCATCTACACACAGCCGGACACTAGCTTTTCCATTGACAAGGTGGTGGCTGTGTTCTACACGGTCATTACCCCTTTGCTGAATCCTGTCATCTATACTTTAAGAAATGAGGAGGTAAAGAGCTCCATGAAACAACTCAGACAATGCCAAGTCTTTTTCACAAAAGCATTTACTTGAAGGGGCTGGAGAGGTAGTGAGAAAAGCCATATCGTTAATGAGATAATAAAATTCAAGGAAAAGGAAGTTTGGAACTAGAGGTGGAGGGAGGCTCCATGCATAAAGGAGAAAGAAATTTTTTGTTAATTACTAAAAGGGGTGGGTGGCAAGGGGGAGACTTTAGAAAAGCTGAAAGTGTAGTGTGATAGAAAAAAACATTAGATTAGAAATGAAAGGGACCTGGGTTCAAATCTCATCCTCTAGTACTAACTACCTATATGAACCTGGATTGATCATTTAATTTTTCTGGACCCTCAGTTTCCTCAACTGTAAATTATAGAGGTTGGATTAAGTGACCTCTAACATTCCTTCTGGGGCAGGTAGGTGGCGCAATGGATAAAGCGCTGGGCTTGGAATTATGAAGACTCATCTTTGTGAGTTCAAATCTGGCCTCATATACTTACTACCTGTGTGACCCTGGGCAAGTCACTTAGCACTCTACCTCAGTTTCTTCATCTGTAAAATGAGCTAGAGAAGGAAATGGCAAAGCACTCCAGTATCCCTGCCAAGAAAACCCCAAATGGGGTCATAGAGAGTAGGACATGATTGAAAAATGACTTAACAAAAATGTTTTTCTAGCTTTAAAGCCTTTGAGTCTGGCCATTGGAAAATGCAATTGTAGCAACTGGTAAAATTTGGAGATAGGACTTAAATTCACTACTAATTTCCCAAAACAGGTATAGATGTTAAGCAGTCATTATTTTGAATGATCCTAGGATCATGAATATAAACCTGGAGGGGACTTCAGAGAACATGTGGTCCAATCCCCTCGTTTTATAGATGAGAAACTGAGGCCCAGGATCGTTAAAGGATTTACTTGGGGACACATACGTAGTGAGAACAAGATCATGTTCCTAGACTCCAAATCCAACACACGTTCCACTGTCCAATGTTTAAGCATTAACAAGTTAATAAATGTTTGTTGAATGAATGAATGGATTCAGCACCATGTTAAGTACCGGAGATACGGAGCAAAAGCAAATATAATTCCTTTTCTCAAAGAGCTTATATTCCAATGTGGAAGATAACATATATAGGTATACACTGTTGTTGTTCATCATTTTCACTTGTGCCCGATTATTTGTGAACCTATCTGGTTTTCTTGGCAAAGAAACTGGAGTGGTTTGCTATTTCCTTTTCCAGTTCATTTTACAGATGAAGAAAATGAGGCAAACAGGATTAAGTGACTTGCCCAGAGTCACACAGCTATTGTCTGATGCCAAGTTTGAACACACAAAGATGAGTTTTTCTAACTCCAGGCCCAACATTCTATACACTACATCATCTAGCTGCCCATAGGTGTGTGTGTGTGTGTGTGTGTGTGTATGTAATATATATGTTTATATATTTATGATACATACAAAGTAGATAATACAAGATAACCTTAGAGGAGAGAGGACCAGCAGCTGGAAGGACTGGGAAAGGCTTCCTGCAGGAAATGGCACTTGAAGTCTTGAAGGAAGCCAAAGGATTCTAAGAGACATAGGTGGAAAAGAGCATTTCAGGCATGATGCCCAGTCAGTGCAAAGGCATGGATATGAGAAGAACGTTATGTGTGAGGAACAGCAAATAGGTCAGTACTGCTGGACAATAGAGTTCATGGAGGGGACTAATATATAAGAAAATTATATCAATAGGAGGTATCAGGTTGTAAAGAGCTTTAAATGCCAAACAGAAGATTTTATATTTGATACTAATGTAATAGGGAACTACTTGAATTTATTGAGTAGGGATAGGGGCTGACACGTTCAGATATGTACTTTAAGGAAGATCAATCTGGTGGAGGATGGTTTGGGGAGAGGAGTGGGAAGAAACTTGAAGCAGGAAGACCAATTAAAGTGGTATGGTTAAATGGTCCAGGCAAGAGGTGATGATGAAGACCTAAACTGTAATGGTGGTTGTGTAAATGCAGAGGAGAGGAATATAAAGTATGTTGTGAGGAAATAAATGACAGTTTTTCAATTGATTAGATATGTGGGGTGTGTGAAAATGAGGAGTTGAGAATATGACACCAAGGCTGTGATTCTGGATAATTGGAAGGATGAGTGGTTCCCTTGACAACAAGAGGGAAGTTTGGAAAAGGTGTGTTTATTGGGAGAGGGAAAAGATAATGAGTTTTGTTTGGGATTTGTTGAATTTGAAATGCCTGTGGGATATCCAGTTTGAAATGTTCAATAGGCAATTTGTGATGTGTGGTTGTAATTTAGGAGAGAGATTAGGACTGGATATATCAATCTATATAAATCATCGCCATAGAACTGAGTATTGAACCCCTGGGAACTAATCAGATTACCAACTGAGAAATTATAGAGCAAGAAAAGAGGATCCAGGATAGAACCAGTTAGTGGTCATGACATGGATGAAGAACCAGCAAAGGAAATTTAGATGAAGCAGTCAAAGAGTTAGGAGAAGAACGAAGATAAGAACAGTGTCATTGAAACCCACAGAGGATTAAGAAGATTAAACCAACAGAGATCAAGAAGGATGAGGATCAAGAAGAAGCAATTAGATTTAGCACTTATAAGGTCATTGGTAACTTAAGGAAAGGAAGCTTCAGTTGAGTGATGAAGCTGGAACATATATTGCAGAGGGTTTCTAGAAGAGAGAGAGGAGGGAAAGTGGGGTTACCAAATCCAGATAGCTTTTTTTCCAGAGTTTATTTGAAAAGCGGAGAAGAAAAAAGTGACAATAGCTTGTGGGAATAGTAAGATCTAGTGAGAGATTTTTATTTTTGTTTTTGTTTTTTGGATGGGAGAATCCTGGATGTGTTTGTTTGTAGGCAGGAGGGAAGGAACCATTAGATATGGCGAACCAATAAACAGGCATAGTCACACCCTTAATCTTACCATCTCTCACAGCTGTTCTACTTCATGTTCAAGAACTCTCAATAATAGCATTGGGTTGTAAGGCACAGGGGAGATACGATGATAAAATACAATAAAAGATAAGGGAATTTCAGAGTTCTTGAACATGGACATAGAACACTTGTGGATGATGACAAGATCAAAGGTATAACCATCCCTAGATACAGTTGAGTTGGAGTACAGGAATAGTACATAGGAGCTGAGTAGATTGAGGAACTGGGAGGTGAGGTTGTTTGAGGAAACTCCAACACTTATGTTGAAGTTCTAGGGTATGAGAGCAGGAGTTAGGGTAAAAAGAGAAACTGACTGGAAAGGCAACACACTCATTGAGAAAGGAGGGAGAATGTCTTAGGGCCAGTATACAAATGCCACTAGGATCTGGATTGGATGACACATTTGCATAGGATGAAGCTCAGAGGAGAGAGATTACTGAGTGATGGTGATAGTAGGAGAATCTGGAAGTGGTTGTAGGGAACAAGGAGTGTTTTGACTCTTCCACAAAGACCAGTGAGTAGGGAAATATGAGGGAAGGTAAGACCAGTTCTGGAAATGCTATCCCCATGCAGTCAGTTCTCAAGATGTGCCAGAATAGGAAAGAAAACAGACATTTTAACTAAAACCTTCTATTTCTAATTTAAAAGTATGTATTCAATGTTTATACATTGAATTTGATGGAAAAATAGGCTAACTTTCATTTATTGGGCATTGTCTCTACAGCATGGAGCACCTTATGGAATAGCTTCATTTCTGATAATGTGCAATGGAATTTGAATATGTTTTAACTTTTTTTATTCTGGACTTAACAAACACAAAATAAAAAGGTCATTTACATATAAATAGTATAATAGAAGAGTAAATGAAACTGTGGATTTCTATTTTGTACAAAAGTGCTTTTGTTTCAAATATAAAATTCAGCGTGAAACTTTCAAAGTTGTTCTAACTGTGATTTTTTTCTGGTTGTTCTTTTGTTCTCTTCTAAGTATTTTTTTTTAAAAAATGACCATTTTCTTTTTTCCCCCTACCCTATCATTGTCCTTTTCCTTCCTCTGTCCCTTTTCCCCTCCTTCCCTTTCTTCCTCTCTTTCTCTCTCTCCTCTCTATTCTCCTCTCTCCTTTACTCCCTTCCTTTCTTTTCCCTCCCTCCCTTTAATCTCTCTCTCTTTCTCTTTCTGAATGTCCCTCTGTCTCTGTCTTTCTCCTCTTAGAAAAAAAAAGCAAAACAAAGCTATTGTAACACATATTGCAAATGTCTTTAGAAAAATGCTGTTCATGCATGTCTTCCAAGATCCCTATAGATTATTGGGATGAAGAGGGCCATGGCTGCTCTCACTTGATGGACACATCAACTTGCAATTTAGGTTGATTTCCTGGAATTGCAGGCTCATATTTCTTAAAATGCTCCATTTATCATTTTAGAGATGCAAAAGGGCTTAGATATCATATAGTACAATACCATACCGTATCTTATTCTGCTTTATGTCCTATCCATTACCCAACAGAGGGCCTTGCAGATATTAGAGCCCATTATATAGTTGTTGAATAAAAAAATGAATAAAATTAATAAAAGTACCATAGGAGGAATCGTTTATTCAGAGCAGTCCTTCCATATACAGACTCCCCTCTACCATGGCTATCCAAATCCCACTGTCCTTTAAAGTCAACTTTCTGAAGTCCCATTTTCTCAGTGAAGCCATTCTTGACTATAAAAGTCAGGAGATTATTCAGTTGGAAGCAACCTTTGAGATCATCTAGTGATACAGTGGATAGAATGCCAGGACCTATCATCTCGGACCCTGCCAGTTGTGTGGCCTTGGGCTAGCTGATTCACCTCTCTCTATTTACCTTATTTCTCTTATCTATAAAATGGGATAATATTAGCACCTGCCCCCAGGATTGTTGTGAAGATAAAATGAGATCATATGTGTAAAGTGCTTTGTAGACCTTAAAGTGCTATACAAATGCTACCTACTATTTAACATTGCCATTTTATAGGCAAGGGAACTGAGGCATAGAGCAGTTAAATATGTTTGTCCAAGGTCATATAGGCAGGATGCAGCAGACCCAGGGATAGAAATGAAGTGGAAGTATGAACATTTC